TCAGCACGAGCGAATTTTCCATCAAATCCGGCTCAATGTTTTCGTTTGCGCTCGTCCCGGGAAGCTGACAGAGTCTTCGTTTTTCAATCGATGTATAACTGCGGTTGAAAGACGGCTGTCTCCAGTTATTGAACTAAAAAATACTGGCGCAGGATGGAAAATGCCGTGAATAAACCCAGGAATATAGCTTGGCGTCCACTCAGGTTCCCGACGACGCATTCGAATTCACTGGCGTTGAAGTATTGATTTCTTGGACGAAAGAAATGTATGAAAAGTTACGCCTTTCATCTCAGGATATTTCGCTGTTTTTTTTTTCTTTTTAATCGAACCCCAGGAATGGCCTGGGGCATTACAATACCGGTTAACCATTTTGACCAATTCTTGTAAAAAATAAGACTTCGGCAACAGTAACTACTAGTATATTGCTTACAGCAGACGCTGCTTAAATTTCAACCCCACCACGTGACGAACGTTGAACGGACTGTCATCCGGGTACTTTGAGAACGCCCTCTATCGAATTTCGTGCGAAAAATAGTAACTCGGAAATTAGAAATTCTGTGGATGGCTGGGAAATAGTTGACATCACAAACAACAAGAGATGAAACAGCATCATTGGGCCTTTGCTCAATTGGTGTATCACTGAACTTTGTTATCCACTTCTCAATTTCAATATTCAAAAATTCAGCCCTTTGCAAAAATGTCCCTTAGTAGTTTTCAATTGAGTTCACATGGGTTGATGTGAGCTGACCAATGTTGCATTGTAAAGGTGCTTGTGCAGCTATCAGACCACAGTGATGATCAGCAAATCGTGTCTCAAGATCTTGGATGACATGATCCGTGAAAAGATAATATACATGTACATTCAATATTTTTGAATATATTCCGCATCGTTTACGAAATTCTGTCAATTGCTTCCCGCCGCCGTGAGGCATTGCAGACCCTGTGGAATCTCGACCACCAAGAAGATCATAATGAAGTGATCGAGCTTGATTAGTGGCTTCATGTCAACCAAACTAAACGGCCCTTTTCAGGGTCACCACATATTCCAAAAGGAGAGAAGCCGTAATTTTAAATGATTAATATCATCAGATTGTGGCGAGTGTGATCGATTTTTCGTTTATTTGAATTTACTGCCATACAAACTGTCAGGGCGACGTCATACATCAATCATACTGATATTCCTCACATAACTTCTTGTACTATAAAAAATTCAACATTGACAGTTGTGTGCAACGTTTCTTCGAAGCTGCTATGGCTGACGTGTCAATCTGAAATACGTTTGACCCGCTGTGTATCAAAGCGTCAACGCGCTCAGTAATAAATATAAACAAAGTACACGCAACTGGCTTACCATGTTTTATTTCAAATCGTGTACAAACCAAATACGTTGTTGCTCGAAGCTTTTCTATTTTAAGTTTTAAAAA